AAAATAATAAGTATCATTTGATTGTCATCTCACTGCATGTTCTCGAACTGACATCCCTTTAATCCAGACAAAGCTGACAATGTGAAGGAATGAAATTGCACACACCATAAAATGATTCCATTGGTATGTTGGCGCATTCATGTTTAATGGCTTCTCTCTTTCTCAATTATATAAAATATAGTGAAAATTCAGTGGAAAAACAATAAAAGTATACTTTTTAATACATATGCATTTTCGGAATAATAAAATTAGGATAAACTTCAAAGTTAAATTTGTTCAAAATGTGTATACATTTTTTTGGGACACACTGTATAAACATCAATCAAATTATACTCCTGTTCCATCGACCGAGTTTAATTCCTCCTAGTGGGAAACACTGCTGTCATACAACCTAATCATTAAGCAAACATCCCATGGTAGAGTGCTGCAATTTTTAGTCATATATTCTGTTATATGAGGGACTAATAACCTTTGAAACTAAGTTTAGAACCAGCTGCAGTTGAGCTTGGACATGTTTCAAAATTTGTGGGACTTTATTATTGTTAAATGTATTGAAAATTGCCTTGCGTTTGTTGACCTTTAGATTGTATCGGAATAAAAAATGTTTCCTTACTTCTAAATATGTTGATATAGTTGTGACTTAAAACATAAAAATTGCCCATTATCGAAGTTTAAACGCTGGTTCTCAAGCATAGCCATGAGATTTCTGTTGTGATAAAGTAAAATGTTTGCTGTTTGCTCCGCGTGGTAATTAAGGTTGATTACATATGGTCGAAAATTTTCCGTAAGGTAAAGTTTGTTTCGGAACGTGCGGAGTTTCAAGTACATACTCTCTGAGGAATTGAAATGGCTGACTACAACTAATAGACCACAGTTGGATTAACATAACCAAAACTGGCCAGTCCATGGGGATAGCTTGAAGCCGAAGAGGAAGACTTAGTTTGCAGTTCGACAGTTTGTCCAAGATGCCATAAACCCAACGTTGTATTTTGCTCAGGATAATTAGACCTATCTTATTCCAGCGAAACCCCAAAAATATGGCCACGTTGTTTTAAAATATGATTCACTGTGTGCACTACAAAGAATATTATTTATCAGACTACATCAGTTGAATTGGATTTTAGAGCGGTAAGCAAATTATCAGCAATAACATCTTAATCGACTTCAATGAAGTCTTTCTTAACATACTGATCATGAAATGCTTTATAGGGGACTGTGTAACCTTTACTTATTAGAATCCATAAAATAATTTTTCATGAACGCTGGAATTTAAGATCACGTAATTTTTATAGCAGGCGCATCAAAGTCATCACCCAATGAAACGTGCTATTTGCGCTTTAAAATAGTAGTATAAACTTAAAGAAATAAAATTGCACTCTCGTCTGCTCATCTCATTCCGAAGATCGTTTTATGCAAATGCACTTTATGCTAATCTAGGATGAAACAGCAAAAAGCACGTAGAGCTGTGAACAGTTTTCTAAGTAATTTGTTATTATAATAATGGCAGTAGGCATATTCCGCTATAAAATAATTTTTTTC